GGGCTATAGGTAGATCATTGTTATCGGTTTCCCCTTTCTTCCCCTACCTTCCCTTTACTCTCTGGTATCGCTACTCTCAGGGGTTGATCTGTCCTGGATTCGCTGTGTTTCCAGCTCTTATCTGTACCTGTGTATATCCTCTGGTCTAGCCAGATTTATAAGGTAGAATTGGGGTCATAACAGTGGGCTGGGGTGGGTAGAAAGCATTAAAGAACTAGAGGAAAGTTGTATGTTTCATCAGTGCTATATTGCACCCTGACTGGCTCGTCTCCTCCCTGAGGCCCTTCTGGAAGGGGATGTCCAGTTGTCTACAGATGGGCTTTGGGTCTCCACTGGGCACTCGCCCTCATTCACTGGGCACTCCGTTTATGTGCACACTGCCGAGGACTGAGTTGAAGATCCCTGCCCGGGAGCTGCACCAGCTGCGTGGCCTTGGGAAAGTTACTTGATTTCTCTGGACCTCCGTCCCCGCCTATGAGGCTAACAACAACAGTCGTCTGACCTACGTCATGGAACAATTAAGAAGATTAAATTAATTATGATGTGTCATGTGCTGCCAAGTGCCCGGAAGTCAGTAAGTGCACTGTGTGTGTGTGTTTGCTGTCTTAATCTGTATTAGCTAATTTCAGGGTCGCTCCCTCTGCTTACCCTTTTGCCACAGAAGACACTGAGACTCCTGGAGGTTAGGTCCATCACCGGAGGCGCCAGAGCCTGACAACAAACTCAGATTTGTCTGACAGCAAGGTTTCTTCCCAGAACACGGCCGGGCCTGCTCAATGCTATAGAGTTGCCGCTCTTTCCTGCCAGCTCAGGGTTCAGTTTATCACCAGGCCCTTCTCTGTCCTGACAAGGGTGAAATCCTAGACATTCGAAACTCTGCCTTTAATCCTCCATTCAGCCCATTCCGTCCCTGGAAAGAGGCCAGTGGGTGACATGTGTGGTCAGTGGGAGGGGGGACTTCCATCCTACATTCCCACCTGTGAGTCTAATCAGTTCCTGATGTTGCCTGTGTTTCCTTGGACAAGCGCAAAGCAAGGGATAAACTCACTGCTGTCGATTCTGATTCTTGGTGACCCTAAGGGCAGGGTAGAACTGCCCACAGGGATCCAAGAGTGTTATCTCTTCTGACGCAGACAGCTACATCTGCTCCGGCCTGCTGGTGGGTTCCAATGGCTGACCCCAAGGGTGTCTCACAGCGCCACAACTTAATCAGTACTCTGATGAGCTTGGTGGATTTAGGGGTGCAGTTGGATCCCTTAGGCAGTGCCACCCAACAGAAATACATACAACACCAGCCAGGCGTATAGTAACTTAAAATGCCCCTGTTAAAAACCCAGCCCATTAAAAAAAAACAACAAAACAAAAAAACAAACCCAGCCCATTGCGATGAGTGAAATAGGGCTCACAGTCTTCCGAAGACCATAGGACAGGGTAGACGTGCCCCATTGTGTTTCTAAGGCTGTTCATCTTTAGCAAAGCCTTTTTCTCCCACAGAGTGGTTGCTGGATTCCAACTGCTGACCTTTGGGTTAGCAG